ATTTGAAGAACTAAGAACCGAATCATTAGAGTGTTTTAACACCTATTTGAAATTATTCGAACGTCGTTGTTCCTTTGAAAATAAACTAGGATGAGCCTGATAAAGACAGATGAGAGGATGATTTGTAGAAGATTTGAGATGTTTACGGATAGTTAAAGAATGCAACTAATGAATCTGTATTCAGCGGCATTTGATGACGAAGTATGTGAGATGAAGGAGTTGCACTGAAATTGGATGAACACCTGTGAAGACTTACCGGGAAAGGATTGCCATCATGCTGTAAGCAGTGCACGTTGAGATCGCCAACATTATAGAGCTCTTTCAAACTTGAATATGTTTGCGATGACCACTCAACTGCATTAAACATATTGTTTATGCTCATTCCGTCACTGACACCTCTGTAATTTGGAAAGGAAAATGCTTATTATTAGCTGCTGTTTAGAGCAGGAATGATGATGACAACGATTGTCATCGTTATCGAAGTGATGACAGTAACAAGTGATAATATTCAAATGAGAATAATGGTCATGAGTGATTTGCATTTGATTGTGATTCACCGCATATTTGTTTTTTTTTTCAATGCTTGTTTAGAAGTGAATTCTCCATTTTTGATATTACTTTCCAGCAGCGTTTATTATCTGAAGAGGATGTTCTGCTTTTTACAACTATGTTGATTTGAAGCAGAATTGCATTTTAATAGATTATTGGTGGCAAGAATGGCATCGATCGATAGATACACTCTCATCAAGACCAGAAATGATAGCTCAAATGTTATTCCACGTGTTATAAAATTGGTTTCGGCGTAAACTATCATCAATAATGGATGAATAATCATTATATAAATATGTCTTTGCAGAATAATTTATAGTGTATCGCATTAAATAATTAATTGCATGCCAGTAAATTATGAATTCTAATAAATAAAACGAATAAATAACAATTTTTTGAAGAATTCGCGCAGAGTGCTGTTGTCGATCGCACTTTTGCAAACCTCAACTTCAGATGCAGGATAATAATACACATAATTAACACACATCTCATCTTCAATACCATATCCTCCCTAAAAATCCATTTTTCCTTTTTGCTTAATCACGTTAAGCGATAGAAACTGAACGTATTTGCTGTCGTTACTTCTAGATACTCAACAATCGCTTCATATCGATCCTCAACTTCACANCAATTAAAACTTCCTCTTAGAAAGCAAACAATACCCAAGTAAAATCGTCCTTGTTGAGTGTTTCATAAACGCAAGTTGTCGAAAGAACATCCCCCTGAAAGGCATCTCAACTGTTGGTCATATTTTCAGATCAAGTTCAGTCGTACAGGTTACGTTCAATATGACGAAGTGCTTTGAACTTCAAGTTTTAAACAAATGAATCGGATCACTAACCGGTAGCACATTAATCGGTTCCTTAAGCATATTGATATGTTGCCAATGTGGTGAATAATGGTTCTCGCGATTGATCTCACCAATTTTAATGCCATTTCTATAATGTGACGTCCACAATTTACGTCCTGTTAAGTGCGCATGTAATTGGGTTGCGAATATATTGATGCCTTCCGATGGCAACTGTAATATTCAAAACGATAATATCTGAATAAAATGATTGATATCAGTTGATCACTCCTGACAGTCGCTTGTTTGCTTCATTTCACTTAGGCGTTTCAGTTAAATTTTGATGGAATTTTCGTGTAATTGTTGTTAGGGAATTGACATTGATTCGATCTCGAAATGAAATGAATGAAACGGTTTTGGCTGATGCTCGATGAGCAGCGATAAATGAAGCATGACCAACATGTTCCGTGCAATCACGAGTGCAGTAACCACTGATCGGGAATGTGTATTGATATGGTGGTATTGAGTTTGCATCGCTGTAAATCAATCCCAGTTCCAATATGCCTGCATCGTACGTCCTCAACTCGTCCGTATAACTGAGCGTAAAACCGGAATTGTCAACCACTCCGCTCAGTTTATCAACATTATTGTAATGAATCTCTACCATCAAGTATGGATAGTAATCATCACCACCTATTGGCATACCGGCCTCTGGTGGATAGTTTAATGCCTGGAAAGTTTTAGTTTTATCCTCATTCTTTCATTCATTTCTTTAGTTCCCTTTTAATATTGCGGTTATTCTGAACGTTAGCATTGCTCTTTNATTAATATCATTATTATTCAATACTTAAGTGAATGGGCTGAATTTGTTTCATTATGAAGAGTATTTCGTTCGGTTTCTTGCGAGCGATTTTGTTCTTTGAAAGAACATAGCCTGATAAAACTTGGCTTGCTATGACCTAAAATTTAATTTCATTCCTGTAACAAACATCAAACGAATTGATCTATGCTTGTGATCGAGTAAAGCAAAGAAATAATAGTATAACGTACTCCAGCTCCAAATGACCATGCGGCAATCACTTTCGAACATGAGCGCATTTCCTTAGGTTTATCGGCACTGTTACAATCACCGTTGTAGAACCATTCGAAATCATTACCTGGATTCACACACTGATATATTTCCATGTGATGCACCAGTTTTTCATTTCCTTTTGTTATGTTTGCCTCAAAGTAAAATTATATCCAATTCGGATTTGATCGTTCATTATTATTGATCTTTCACTGCAATTAAAAAGCTACATTCAAATAGGACAACAAATATCAGCACTCTTGAAAGCATTAGGATATGCTTACATAATTCTTATTTTGTTCATTTTTTCCAACTCATTTAATGAATTTGAAATAATAAACGGAACATATCTTAGTAATGTGATGCTTTTTTGTTAAGAAAACTGGATCCAATTTTTTAACTGCACACCAATACGTTGTGACTTCAGCTGGTATTAACGCATCTTGAAAAGCAATAATTATCATTTGTTCAAACCGAATATAACACTGAATCCTCTCAGTTGTTCTCAATAATAAATAACTATCTAAAATTTATTGGCTGTACTGATCACAATGAACAGTTGTCATTTACTGATCTAACGCTGACTGATTGCCGTGACATTATCCATCGAATATTATTTTTTAAACTGGAATAAACTCATAATTCAATATTCAATAAACCATTAGCCGTGATTGATGTTTGATAAGTGTTTGTATCTTCGTCACTGAAGTCCAACTCATACTCGTACAAATTAGCGAAGGTAATTTCTTTCGATACACCGCCATCGCTCAAGTATTCTTGCTCACCATTCCCAATGGCGATCAAAAATTGTGTTGTTCCAGTCTGAACTTAATTTTCTTATAAGAATTTTGCTTGCATTATTCACATTACAAGGTAGTGGAGCAATTTTTAAACGTTTTGAGCTTATATAATATTAGAACGAAATTTCAAGTTGCTTATCTATGTTGTGCTCATTGAAATGATCAATGCTAAAGGCAACAGCTTCAGTGATTGAAGAGAAGTTGAAGAATGAAGTAACGATGGTGATAATAAGGTCTTTCAGTGCTACCTCAATGGCATAGTCACGCATGTCACAAGTTCTTAATCTTTTGCTGAAGCGGACTGATTCTTCCATGTCAGTATCGTATAAAATACAGTCTTGTTGCATATCGATTTCCATGTTCAAATCATTTCCAATGTAACCGTCCTGAGAATGTCGAAATATTCATAAACGAACTGATAATAAATGAATGAATATTTTTTAAAGCTATTGATTTTAAGAGATATCACTACGATCACTACTAAACATTAAAACAGCGTCAATGTTGGTGAGTTTATTGGATAACAATCACGAAATCGAATAAGTCTTCACCAACAGGTTGGAACCATCAAACTTGCAAAAGTCAGCTCCATGAAATTCGCCGTGATCACTAAAACCAATCAAAAACCACGCAATCGGTAATCCAGATATTCGAACGTTGTAATATAACTTCTCGGTTTTGAGATTCAGTTCAAGTAGCACATCAACTCTGGTACCTTAAACTTCTGAGAATGATAATGAATTCAATCGAATCTTCAATTCCGATCCTAAATCATATAGCTGTTCGTTTTGCACAATTCATACAATTTTCTCGCTTGTGAAACGCATTCAATGTTTGAGCCAACATTCGCTTCAAAGCGAACTGGGCATTTTTCGCGTTCATCAACTCTAATCCGACAATAGTATAAATTATAAATTGATAAGCCCATGACATGTGGGCTAGATTGAGCCAATGAGTCAGTTTTAGTAAGGCTGAAAGAATCAGGAAGCTTGTTCCATGGTTTATTCGCNATTTACCAACATTTCTTCAGATAATTGAAACGAAAATGCTTCTGTGATAAGTAGGCGAGCGAGTTTCAACAAAAGATGATGGAAAGTCAAATAAATGCAAAGTATGGAAGTCGTTACCGTTTAAATGCGATGTAATTTGATTGTGGAATATTTGCTCTGATAATGATAATATTTTATCATTATCATACAGTAATATTAATATGGAAAGAATTATATTCAACACGTGCATTTTGCTTAATGAAACGACACGAACTGAACTGACGCGAAATGTAAAGTTTAAATAATTTCGTTCGGTGCGATCATTTTCGCAGTTATGTTGTGTTTGTGACAGATTATTGTCACGAACACGCGACCTTTCAAGCAAGCGGGTTTCATTTGCATCATTTAACGTTAACTGAGCACTCTCCATATTCGTTTCCTTGAATTTGGAAACAAATTCATCTGATTAGTGCAAGCTTTTCGTTTTTGAACATTAATACTCCTCTCTGAGCCATCAATAACACATTTTAAATCGCGCATTTTAATTGGTTTCCAAAAATTGTCATTTAAGATGAAATCTGACAATGAGCATGTCTGAATCTGTGTCAAAATATACTGCTACTTCAGCCAAAAAATGCCTTGAATTCAGCCAAAAAAAGACTGGTTTTAGGAATGAAACCGATAGCAGAATTTAAGAAGAAATATGATAAAAATGATTCTAAGAAATTTGATCAAAAACCAGAGCAAACACAAAAGCGAGGCACTGCAGGAGGCAATCAATGATCAAGAAATAAATTTATTCGTAGCTGATTAAAAATAATTAAAGAATAATCATTTAATACAAATATAAGAGGTCTTCTTTGATCCTCCATCGAAACTTCAGTGATATTATGATGCCAATAATCTGAAATATTCAGTAAATTAGGTTTTTTTACGTACGTCGCTTTCTACATGAATATATTGCAACAAAGCGTTTGGTGAATTGAAATTCAATCCATTAGTGATCAGAAAGTTGTGAACGTGAAAGCAGTTGATTTTGTGGTGAGCATTTGAAATTGATCAAATTATCACTAGAGAGAAATTTGTAATTCGCAATACGGAAATTCGCCTAAATGCTATTTGACGAGCCACAGTATTTTTAATCAATTCGTACTGATTTCTCATTACACAACTCATACCCATTGAATCTTAAAATTCAACGATGCAATGCAACGTCAGGCGATAGATTCCATTCATGTTAACCGAAAATACTTCATGAATTATGAAAATAAGCCAAATTATTCGTATAATTAAACAATCACCTAATTCTATATCACGTATATCAGATTCTTGCATCTATAATATAACAACATGATGGAAAAGCAATGCAAACTAAACAAGCATCATACCTTTAATGAAGCCAATAATAGAAGAATACCAACTGTAGCAGAGAATCGTAATATAAATGGTTGACGAATAAATTCAATACAGCCCTATAAATTCAATGAAAATGTTCCTCACAAAACAAATTAAATCTCTACTATAAGCTCATCTCCAATAAATCCAAGAATATCCACGCTCATAAATTCACAATTTTCAGTAGCCATATTGATAACACATGTAGTATATAGCGTAAAAACAAGTTATCATCACAATGAGACATCAATACGCAATTACTGAATAAAGACATCAATACGCAATTATTGAATCAGTATTTTGACTCGTAAAGCAACATGACTTCGATCCTCGTCAATCCTAACCACTCTCTTAATAATTTAGCAAAATTCTTCAAGTTTCCAATTTCGTGTACCACAGTTCATTAACATGCTTCAGATGACATCATCTGACACTGGCAGTTGACATGCGCACTACTACTTGATAGTTGTCTAAATGTTACAAAGTGCAAAATTAGGAGAACAATGAAAGCAGCTAAAGAAATTTCATCCATTCGAAATTGAATGATTTTGGTGGAGTAGATTCTAACAAGACTTGCGAACAAGCTTGATGGGAAATTACTGTGAAGTGGTAAATTCGATTGAAAATGCAAGTTTGCTAGCAAAAATTGAAATTCCCAATGAAACAGAAGCAGAACATTTGATATCAACATGCAACGCAAGTGATCACCGAACAACATTACGATATCGAGTGAAAACTGAAACAGCAATAAATCAAATTATCAGTTTACAATACCACAACGAAATACCTACCACAACACAAAAAACCATCAACGTTCTTCCCAAGAAATCTTCAGTCAATCTGAGCTAATCAAAATCAAACAACTGTCAAATCAGCATTCGAATAGTGTGCTGGTCTTATCACATCCCATCGGACTTATCATGAATGATACTCATTACACTTATCACGCATTCTTTTTATTCATAGGCACCTATTCGAGGTGTTTGCGCCGACAAGAGGACAAATGTATTGTGAATTGTGTTCACTTGCAGAAAAACTATGTGCAAGGTACAGGTTATAGGCAGCAACTGTTCAGCATGGGAACAGTTGCCGCCTAAAGGAGTGATTTATGTCGAGAGAAACTTGTCGCTCTCAATTACTTCACGCTTCTATGTTCAAGGTGGGACCGATCATGAATGAATGAAGGGCTATTGCCAGAGTTCTACGAAGTTATGCATAATTTGAGGTAATTATTGGAAGTAAAACACAGTCGACCGATTACCCATGAAAGTATCATTGAAGCTTCAACAGATTTAGTTTCATATCAGACTGATAATGTGGTGAATTTTACAATAAATGAGGACCGTGAATACATAAAGGACTGTTAATAAAGTCAGTCATAACTAGCATTACACCAAATTGAGCATAAAAATGCGTACCAGTTGAATGCGATCAGCAATTAATCGAATTGTTCTCTTAACATTGATCAATACTTTAAAAAAAAACAAACAAACGATTGCAACCGCGAATGAAGCAACACAAAACAAATGGAAACGCATCATCGATAAAGATACACGTCCGGACTCAATACTTCTCCAGACAATGTCAGCTTGGAAATGCTTCAAGGTAAAAGCGTATCTTCAATAAAGTTCGTCTTCATTAATAGAATTACATAAACAGAATGCGACTGTTATACCAAAAACCTGAAAATAGTTCAGCCGATCAACACTTCAAAATAAGTTCACTCTAACTGTAAGTAATTTGTATCCAAAGGTATTCCAGTTCAATGCTTTTTAAACTTTCCCATTCACCCGATAAATTTTAAGACCATCTCCAATTTTTTATGTAGGACCCGTCTATCACAATCCCAGTGGGTTCAAAAAATTGTACTGTTGCGGAATTTTTTGTGATCCAAAGTTTAAAAAGAGCTGCAGTAATTAATGGCGTAGGCAAAAAGGATTACGGAGGTACGGACGTCTTCTAGATTACGAAAACTATTGTCCGTAAGAGTTCCTATTATGCTTTCAATGATTTTTATTGAACCTCAACAACTGAGTCAAAAATTCAAAAATTGAAACTGCCTGTAAATAAAACTAAAATGCCAAAATTCTTCTCCCGCAAATATCCTGTGTTAAGTCAAGTCACAAACTTTCATTGCAGCATCAGCAGTAGCATTCATTTATACTGTAAGGATTGAGCAACCATGACCCCTTTCTAAACAACACCAACAACAACATTAGGCGTTCGGCATGCGAATGGCTTTTAGGCGCTGATATGAAGTAAAGCATGATAATGTGCCGTGATAAATGCAATCAAATGAACAATACCTGAATAAGTGCAATAATACATACAGTCCATGCAACAATCTTAAAATGCGTACTCAAATCCTGTACTGATTCTTGAATTTTTGTATAACATCCCTGCAAAATGCATTGTTCAACCACGACACCAACCACAACACAATTAATATTGCTTAACATGCGTTCCATTTCAAGTTATCCATTCACCTGATTCAATTTCAATGTAATCACATCCCTCGAATGTAATATTAAAAGCGAACCCTCAGTCATTTACACAATTCTGATCAATAAGTGATACTTCGCCTTTTTGTTAGATCCATTAACTGACAATTATCATTTTGTCAAAATTGATCGCCCTCAGTGATGAAATCGGAGTATTTAAAATCCCCATCAACATCGCATTGCATTCGATAAAAAACTTAAAGTTCAAATATTATGGAAGCTAGCCACGCTGAATGTTAAATGAGAATCTGAATGGAGTTCAATGTCTGCAGTCAAATGATTTTTGAACTCAACCTTTCCTCTAATGAAAAAACATATAGACAGACCATAGCAATCAAATTGGCAGCGTTTTTTGGCTTATACTATCGCAAGTTGTGTGTCGTAAGAAACGAATTTCAGATCATTGAATGCTTCAAAAAAGTTTAGAAAAATGTTTTAAAAAGACAAAGATAACTGGAGACAGTTCATGAAGCAGTGTCTATCATGCGACAGAATAATCATTCGAATACTTTTGTTTCGGAATATTTTCAAAAATTTTAAAATAATTCAATTGATCTTACCAATAGAATCTTGCAAAGAGAGAACTAAAGAGAAGAGCATGCATTACAATGAATATTATAAGCTCATCCTTAATCAATGAGTAAGAACGATCAGAACTGGTGTTAAATTGAATGAATGCTAACGATAATATTCGTCATAACAAAAGTGACATCCGTATGAGAATGATACTAATCACTGAACGAATGAAATTGATAACTGAACAAACATCGCCATATCGTGATATCCTTGGGCAGAATTCCATCAGTGAGCCATCCCTGTTTGGTGGACAACAGGCTGGAGGAAAATGATGTCGTTTTTTCGTTAACTGATACCATCCACTTTCGTTGAAGTCACCGATTTTTGAGTCGACACCACAACACGATTTCTTAGAAATAAGAAAGTTTACAGCTTATCTAATAGAACATTTTCATAATGGTAATTGAGTAGCAATAATAGTGTTGCAACAAAATATTTTGATTGTTCAATCATTGAAATATAAACAACATGCTGATTAAACGATACACATTCCCTCATAAAAACACTTCGAATGAGCGAAACAACAATTTCCTACCAAAATATTCTTTATATAAACGCTCGACTGACGTTAAAATAATCAATTTTTAGAGATATCAAAGAAATTCCTCAGAATCATTGGAATGAAGCGCATACGTCAATCATAATTTTATCCCAAGCAGCTTTCACGAGAACTGTATTGTCCTCCTTGTTCTTCTCCATTGCATCTGTGCCATTGTACAATTTTAAGGACGCTTTCAAAATTTGTCGGAAATCTCTTTCAAACTGAAAATTGCTTTCTTTCGATTCAGAGCATCTCCAGTTTTTGCAATAATTGCAATACATTCTGACAAAATGGATGAACAAAATATATTGATGATAATGTTTCGTGAATGAAATTACCATATGACTGTGCATTGCAGCATATATCGCAGCAGCAATTTCAGTAGCCAAAATGACCATAAGACAGGTTGCATACTGAGAAAAAAATAATTTACAATTGGATATTGCACGAAAATGTTGATAACCAATTAANAGGATGTCGATTACAACTGCCGTACGAATACTTCAAGAGAAGGCCAATTCCAGAGTATTGTCCAAGAACAATTTAACCAAAATAATAGTCTCATAAAAAAGTGATAATAATGAATCGATGAGAGAATCGAGAAGGGGACTTCAAAGAATCTGTTCGTAAAAATTTACAGTTCCTTTATCGCTGAATGAGAATGAGATGCTGAAGAGAATGAGAATAATGATGAAACAACGAACGCAACACAGCAGTGGTCTCCATTCCTTGGCTGCGCCACAACAACCCAAAAATGAAACCACAATAACAATAACGCCACCAATAATTAATAAGGTTCCAATTTGCCTGACAGCTGTTGGTTTTGACGCCTTCAACGTTCATTTCATTGCTATCATACTAATGCCACATACACTCAACGTCGGTAATCAATAACGAACCAGCTCACGCAATCCATCATCGGTAATTGTTCCCTGAACCTTCTCAGTGGCCGCAGCCAGATTATCAACTGCGTACCGATCCAACATCAGCCAACTTCCAATTCCGAGACAAACAAAGCCACACATCTTTAAAAAATTCTTTATTCCATGTTGCATTCATTGCACTATGGTCAGTGTTCATTTTATAATGCTTCGAAACGAATCAGATCTTTAATGTCTCAGAATGATTCATTTTATGTTTTTGCCCGTGTTTCTCTAGTGTGAAAATTTGATTTGGAATTATCTCATAACAGTACACTATGAGAAATTATTAAATGTCGTGATTCAGATAAATTTTTACTGAAATGACGTAATACATTTTATTGCATTACTTCGTCAAAAGTATGACACATATGTTAGCAGTAAAGTAAACTGAAATGAGATGATATCCATCTGGCATGATTGGTGAACATGTTCATTTCATTTTAACTTTAAAATGAGCTGTTGTTGTGAGGATACTTCAAAAAAAGAATGAATATGGAAACTGCAGAATAACGGCTGAACTTGTTGTTGATTTAAAGCACATGAATGGAGTTCAGTAGGATAGAGGAACTAATCAAATTTTGCACAAACGCATCACAAAATTCTCATTCATTTTCAACAGCAAATGCAATTGCATTCAAAAACACACTGATCGTGAGATACGAGTGCGCTAGATTAACAGGCATTCTGATTATACTCCGTTGGCCGCAGAAGGTAATAACTATTTTTTGTTTTCTTTTTGCATTTTGTTCATCAATCATATTCAGCACATTATGCATTTGCAATGCACTATGAATCCGAGGGCGTGGAAATTGATTTTAATTGATTGAAATGGTTTCATTGCAATGCTTCAATTGAAATCGCTTTAATCGCCTTATTGTTAATGAAAATTCACGATTAATATCAAATGAAAACGAACCAGAAAAACGAGGTTGAATACAAAAAGACAAAATTTCAAGCATCTTGCACCACAACCAAGTCTTTCCATCCGGCCCTATAATAATGTCAATCATCAATCTCCACTATCCTTCACGAGTTTCACTACTATTATTTATATTTCACTGACAATGAGCTAAAATCAATCATTTTTTTCATGGTAACATTTACTGAAAGTGATTACAGTTAAGTTTTAAACGATGAAAATAAAATGAATGAGATGATACCTCAGCCATAGAGAACGAATGAAGAAGTGATAAGTTCAATGCTCAAACTGATGGACAATCCTCAATTAAATATCTGATTAAATTATGTCTCGCGCATACCGATTAAACGAGTAAAAGATAAAAATGATCAGCGTCGTTATCATTATAACAGAGAAATACGTAACACATAACGGAGAACAGTCAGTGGTTATGATTGTTGATAAACGGGAATGAATGAAAACGGTGAAGGAATTACGAAGACAATAGCAAGTTCTAACTGAAAGCTACACAAGAATAGCGATTGAACGGCTGGATGAATTTCGGTACTTTCAAGCAGCTGATGTGCTGCGCCATTAGTAAAGCTCATCGAGATCACAGAGTTCTCGATTATCGCTACAATTTGTGAGCATCATCTAATATTACTGATACTGGATTACAACGGCGATAAGAACAGCAATAAAATTGCGCTGAAGAGATGTCAAAGTGAAGATTTAGTAACGGTAAAGTGCGATAAATAAACAATGACTGCTCTATGATATGTAGTTATTTGATTGCTTCTTTCATCACTATAATATCCGCTCAAGAACGTGACAATAATATCTACGCATAAGTATGAACAACACAAGAACCCACCCAACAATTGCTTTCATCTATTATCAAACAATTGTTTTATTTTACATCGTTTAACACTCTTAGCTAACCTCTTTTTGAACAGTTGCTGTATATCTTCTTTTTTTTATGTGAAGGATGTTCATCATATTCGAATGAAATCAGATTACTATATGATTGAATATGAAAACGTCTATAAGCATAAACAACTGCCGCTTTGAAGGAACAACACTCATAATCATTCGAATGACAACAATAATAACTTATCAATAACAAATCTAAAATATCGATCTCTCCGATCCCCAAAATAAACAGCGAAGAAATGAGCTTTGTTGAAATACACTTCAAAAGTGCGTCAAAATTTTCACTTTCACTTCATGAAAGGTCAATGATGTATTTACAAAGAACCAATGGACAAATTTTCTGCAGTATTCTGCAGCTATTTTTACGAAACTTTTCCTACTAACCGCACAATGATTCACGATGAGGGAACCTCTGAAATCGATGTATGAAAATAACAGCGTCGTCAATCGAGTGGTTTAAAATCGAAGAACGGACTCAACTTCGCTATCGACTCATTCGAAAATTTCCAAGCGAATAACGAGTACCAAATAAAAGCACCAATAAAATGAATTTAACACAGTGGCACTGAAAGTGAAGTGATTGCATGCGCAATGCTTGTTATTTTCTTGCACGAGATTGCATCAAACTCAACGAATAAATAAATAGCCAATATAATCCTATGGATTGTCACTAATGATGTGCTATTATCCGTCGTTGATGATACCACAGCCACAAGTAACTATACTCTTATGTTAGCACACGATATATTATACGATAATATGCTATAAATTGATATGTGTTTAGTTATTTATTGCATATCGTTGATGTATCTCTAAATGGATAATCACTTTATGCTGCTGGCTCGTTTGGTATCGTCATCTCGGCAATCATAAATCCACAAATCAAATTTTTGAATGCGTTTTGTTGATTATATCTGCATATTCCAGCTGCATCAATCCACTAATATTTACACATCTAAAATAAATGATTCACTTAATATGTGGTGAAACAGAGGAAACTGAGCTCAGGGAACAAATTGGTATTTCGCTTATTTTGAACTCACTTTACGAGCAGCACGGAATTGATTTTAATAGTTTTCATATTTTTCATACTCGTTTTTCTGAACATTGCATTTCCGAAGCAATGCTGATGAAATTGTCCATGAACTCAAGCCTTAAGTACGAGCGCAAAATGCATCCGAAAGTGATAAATTACCTGGAAAGTGATAAATAGCGAGCAGAACTCTTTCAGCCCTATTATCAGTATTGCTATGAGCACAGGAATATTTATCATTCTCACTGGCATTATTATCTCATTAGTGACTGCGTGTTCATAATGTCATCAACCTCATTCATTAAAATTCGATTATTGCCATCATGAAGAGTATATATGGTATATTAAGCATCCAGTGTGACGATGTCGCGAACGACTCCTCAACTATATTGAATCGATTTCTTGTCGAGCATCGCATATTTATGATCTGTTTTAGAGTAATGCAAGCCAACTGCAGTAAATTCATCATGTTCGCTTGATATCGTTCAGTTAGTTTGAATGACTCAAATTTGCAAATAAAATAATGGACTACTGCCATTCAAGATTCAAAATGTCGATTAATCCAACTCATTCCGTATCATATCTCTTCAACGTTCTCACTTACGGCGATACTTCTATAGCATCTTCCCAATCGTTCCGTGTTAATTGTAAGCTCATAACCCAAAATGTGACTAACAATAATCGCTCAAATACCTTCGAATATTTCATGGCTCATGTAATTTCCTCATACCGACGAGGACGTCTGTCATTCAGACTAAAGATCATTTTTCTTCACGCCTCATCTTTTGCTTCTTCATGACTCATTCACTTTCCAACAATGAAAAGAATGATAACTCGCCTTATTTCTGAGCGTTAGATAATTAGAATAATTAATTTTATTGAATGAGTCTTAATAAAGTTGTCAATATTTCAATAAACGTCTTTCTAAACGGTTGAGAATAAGTGAAAGAACACAAATTATGCAAAGTGAACGCGAAATGAGTGCTAAACGAATGAAAGCAAAAGTAAGTGAACAGCAAAAATTCATGTTATGTCCGTCCTTTCAGCACTCTTCAAGTTACTTGTCAAGGTGATGAAATTTGAGCGTTATTATCATGTGAATGAACAATGAAACTGAATATAACATAAATCAGAAAACAAAACAATTATACTTTTCGTTGAAGAGTCAGTACGTCTCACACCATTATACACTACTATTTCATGTTCATTAAAGTATGAAACAAAATGATGATAACTACAAAAAACAAGAGTCTGCCAATGTGAGGAATATAAGTAATCATAATCGTACAATATTAGAACAATGATAATGATCGAGCACCAAATAAACGATAATAAAATAATCAACTGTGTAGTATCACATTTTGTTAAAACAATCTAAATCAGCGAATAATGATAATATTGAATATTATTAAACATTAATCACTGAACAAAACTCTACACCACAATAGTGTTATCGTTATGCGCACATCGCAATAACTGCGTTACAGTGAACGTAAAACAAGGACGAATAAACAAATTTAGATATAATAATGTGATGACATGATAAGTTGCGATGAAGAGTCGATCATCTTATTACTTAGAATTTGAGCGTTCTAACATAAAGATTATAATATAACGAAAACAATCGCGAGAATAACAACGCAAAAAAAGATTAGTAACCATTAGTAAACCTTGATCGAGTAACACTTCGCATAGTATGTGGTTGTGATGCATTGTAAGGTAGCATTGGCGGCATATGATGAGATTGTTGAATAGCAGCGGTGGCAGCGGCTGGGTGTATGGGAGGGGGTGGTGGGAAGGGGTGTCGGAAATTGGCCTGTGGATGTAGAGGAGGGGAATTGATGAAGAGCGGAGGGGGTGGGGTACCGATCCATCCGGGCGGAATGAACGGGGTGGCTGGTTGCGGGGATGGTGCTTCTCCACGCAAGAAACGTTGCAATTCTTGTTCTGTATCGACAATCATCACAAAGAACGGTGACCCTGGCACGTGTTCTCCGTGCCATTTCACTTCCACCTCAAATATCATTCATTCAGACAAAATTTCAATTCAAAAAAAAANAAAAAAAAACGTGAGTACGATTCATCATATTAGCAATTTGAATTTACATATATTAAATATACAGTTCTAAAAATACTTTTTTTCACTTCAGAAAATTAATTTCTTTCACGCCTCCGAGGAAGTTCCAAAGCGCTTTCTGATTTACTTCTGACGTAATGCGTGGAAATAGTAAATCATTTTGGGGGAAGGGAAGTGATGCCTTGCCAGAGCATCGAAGAGGGAATAAAGTTTCCAAGGGTGCACTAAAACATCAAATAATAGACGAAAGTATCACAAAACCTGATAATCTCCCGGTTCACGCGGTTCGTATTTGCAGTGAATGGTACGTTCTTGTTTCTTTTCACGTTGCATTTCAACGTTGAAAGCACCCTTAGGACCACGTACACGCACTGTTAACTGTCCTGCACCAGCACCTTTTGTTTCAACGACAAAATTCGATTTGAAACTTAAAATTCATTCAGTGAGATCAGAGCATCGTAACTAGCATTTGAAACCATGATAATTACTAATATTGATATTGAAACGTACGTAGAGAGTATGCCATGCTCTATGCCCGGTCCAAACACACGAACTTTGGTTGCATCCGGCGGATTTGAAACGTTTATAATGAATGGACTACCAGGAACATGTTCATCGGAATATTTCACCACTACAAGTAAAGTTGAGCATTTATCATATACTGTTGGATGTTATAATCATTTTATTCAGTTCAAAATTTATTCGTTCACAGAATTTATCATAGCATAAATCCTCAGCTAGTCATAATAAATCCCATAAATCCCCTTTATTATTCCACTATCATTAACTTAAATTTAGAAATTTGTGTGAGTCAGTGAAATATATATGAAATGAATGTGCTTAAATAAAACCAATGAATGCAAATAAATGACAAAAATAGAGCANAAAAAAAACATTAGATCAATCAATCATTCAAATAATATGACGAACCAAGTTGTCGTAATGAATAAGCAGTGACATGCCGAATGACAACATAACTGGATATTGCAACATTTAACTGTCAAATAAAATAAAGCAGCCGTGTAGACAGGATTTTTTCCATGAGAGGATGTAAAATGGTGTGGTCTCAGAATATAGATGAACTTAGGGGTGGATTTTTTCACGTCCATTCTCCTCCCTTATTCACTTTCTTTTTGTCACGTCCTTCCCCGTTTCCTCCTCTTTTTCCCTCTTTTCCACTATCCGTAGACGGAGGAGGACCCTACCTTGGCTAAACACATATGGTAAAAAGAGACCTGGGCCAGCTCTTCTGGTATCGATGACAGTTTTGATGTCATCATTAATAACACCAATTTTGAGTGTATTCGTATCGACATTTATCAATTCAGCTGCATTCGAATGCGACTCGACTTGAACTCGGAACGGTGATCCACGAACATGACGTCCATCCCACAGCACCTAGCAATTAGAATTATTCTTATTGCTGTTGTTATCCCTTACTTTCACCACAATGTCAAACATCCCAACGAGAACGTATAAACAAACACGAGACACTTCCGAACAGAACCTCTTTGAAACTATCAGTGATCGAATCAGAGTGTTTCTAAATGTCACTGTAGACGTTCACTGTTTAATAAAATGAATAATATGGCTCTCTCATGATTTAAAAAGCCAATNAAAAAAAAGATGAGAAAATACCTCTAATTCATAAACTCCACCAATAAGAGGTGTATAAATAGCCTTATAAACATTATTGCCCAGATGTGTTAGGCGAACTGGTATATCAGCCTTCTGACCAATTAGGGAACATGTTATACGTCCTTCTTAAATTCATTTATTTTATAGATATTCTTTCAAGGAACTGAACATCCATCGAAAATGTACGAATTCAAAAATGTCATTTGTTATCTGATCATAAATTCATTCAGAAAGTGATTGATCCACTCGCGGAATTTCCCTCATCTCAACATATCAACTCTGCAATGGTAATGTCCACAAAAAACACACAGTGTTCGAAATGTTGCAAAGTCGATATCGCAGTTCAGTTATTCAGTCAAACTATCTTTTACAGGCGAATGGATAAGAGCTAATGATAAAAAGGCGAATGAAATTGTAAATGTGAAGTTTGTCAGTAAAAACTGTGAAATTTCTGATTGTTTGCGAACTTTCCAAAAATAAAACAGTAATAGAATACAAATAAGATTTATTGGGATTCCGTCCGCTGAACTCCCGGAATGATTTCTAGGCATACCAAAAGCGATATGAGGAACGATGGGACGTTGTAACTGAGTTAGAATAAGGTATAAAATTGAAAAGTATTAACCAGTAGAAATATCAGATCCATCAATGATGAACTCTGATTGCTCCTTGCAAGCGGCACGTGTAAGTCCCTCTCCACGCAGAACTACACGTAAATGATGGGGTGTTTCATCCTCACCTAATGATCGTTCACTAAAAACTTAATCTTGTATTCATTACTTCAATACCGATGAAGTGATCACTATTAGACGTATTACTGTCATTATGGCTATTACGATAGTCAATTTTGTGATTAATATTTTCAAGAGACTGAAAACAGAATATTGACGAAATGAATGAGTAGTTATTAGGAATGCAAAAATAAACAGAATAATAAAATAACCCAGATTTAGATCGGGAGTGTCGAACAGAGGTTTCAAATTGATCATTATTGATGGTTGTCGATGTGGATGGCTGTTCGGGCTGTGCTGCTTCAGAGTGAGCAACAGTGTGCAGTGGATACGCACTCTGAACGGCGATATCAGACCAATACAAGTATATGTTGTATTTACCTGATATCGACGGCTTGTATACCACACGATACTTGCCATATCCCAGTGACTCCACTTCACTTCCTGGCACCAATTTGCCCTCCCAATCGCGAACTTCCGCTCGAAGTTTTCCTTCAATTATTTGGTATCGCCTTATTAGAGGACTGGATGAACACAACCGTTTCAACGCAGCGTAATCGCACATAACTCATCGTCAGCAAGAGGACACTTTCAATGCGATATCGTTTTTGATAAACAAACGCATATAGACACAATGTATCAAAACCAGTAGTTCGTTATGATAAATAAAGATTAATTTAACTGATAATAAACAAAAAATTC